TCCGGATGGTGGACGCAATAACTACACATCGCAGAATAGCGGCCACAACTTTTCTAAGCGTCGACCAAATGATCTCTCTCCACGCCGGAACAACAATTATACGTTCAAGCAACCTCACCAGAACCCTAATTCGGATCTAGGTCGGCAAAATACAGCGTATCTTCCCGAAGGAAGCGTTTCCGGTTCATATTATTCGACTGTAAGTATCCTATGTTGTCGTTGTAAATCAAAAGGAAAAAGAAAAAGAAAAAACTGACTTCCGACAGTCAATCAATCAATCCGAGGCAATCGATGCAGGCGCGCGGTACACGAACGAAAATTTCAATGTACAGAGGAATGCTTGTGTAGAATTAATTCAACAAGTTATTTGAGATGGTTTCTCGCAAAAAAAAAAAAATAAAAAAAAATAAAAAAAAATAAAACTAAAAAAAATGAAATAATAAAAAAAATAAAATAAAATAAAATTTCACGCTTAAATTATTGAGGCACGTTTCTGACCTCTAAACCAGCGACCTTCCCACCTTGATTAAGAATTGGTGCACGTGATAAATCCGAAGGCTGATTCTGATATTGATTGTTGTTCACCATTTGAACCTGAGGTTGATTGTTCATCAATGGATTCCCAAGTGGATTGTTCATTGATGAATTTCCCAGTGGATTGTTCATTAATAAATTTCCAAGTGAATTGTTCATTAATGGATTCCCAAGTGGATTGTTTAACACTGGGTTTCCATGTGAATTGTTTGTCAGTGGATTTCCAAGTGTACTACTGTTCACCATTGGATTTCCATGTTGACCATGCTGATTACTCATCATGAATTGTTGAGCATTCAGTAAACCCCCAATCAAACTTAATAAAACAGTGGTTTGTTGGTTATTTGCTGAGAAATTGCTTCCAAACATATTTAGGAGATTTATTATTTCGGGGTTTAGTAGATTAAGGTTGTTGGGTACATTCATCGCTTGGGTTTCCGGTGGGGTGGTCGAGGCATCGACACCTGCCTGAGTTGTTGATAGGTTGGATGAGGCATCGACATTCGCTCGGATTGTTGATAGATTAGTAGGTACATTCAATTTTCGACAATTCGCCACTTTTGCAGTCGAATTATTGTCGCATTGTTGGTCACCGGGAGTTGTCATGAAGGGAGACGCGTCAACGCTTAAATGTGATGATACCGTATCTGGGGCGCGCATTTCCGAGGTCAGAGCACGCGCCGCGGGAGTAAAAGACGAAGAATGTGACCGAGATATCGAGTTGTTACTTTGATCGCCAGGTGTGAAGGTGGATGATCCAGGATTTTGCTTGGGTTGATTCGCGTTTACTGGATCTGTAGGTGAGGCAGAGTTGTTAGGGAAATTCATGGATTCTTCTATTTCCATCGGTGAAGCGGATGATCTATTTTTTGATGATCCGCTTTCCGAAGACTTTTGTTTTCGCAACTTTTGGAAATCCGGAGGTTGGGCTATCCTTGAAATCTGCTTTTGTAATTCAATTAACACTCGATTATGATAGCTCTCTAGACCCGTCATCTGAGAGCGATGTCTAGAGATGATGCTCTCTTCTTCTTTCTGAAACTGCCTCTGAAACGAAACAATCATTAGTCATCATCAACGTTGCTAAAATCATTATTCTTTACGATATAAGTAAGTGAAACTTACATATAGATCATGAAATGTTAACCTCGGTGATTTACAAATGTTATCGTCCATGTCTTCAAATTTTTCCAGATCTATTCCAGAAACTATGTTTTTAACGGCAGGGCACAGAACCATAGATCGAAAAGGGGAGATCCCAAATGATTCCGATTGCATGTACTCGGGATCAATTCTTTTATAAAATTGTTCCCGGTGCAGCTTTCTTTCGGAAATTTGGGATCTCCGGAGAAGTTCCTTTTGGTTCTCGTGTTCCTTAAAAATCCATTTCTCGCGTTCCAGCAAGAAATTTATTTCACTCTGCTTTTCATTAGGCGGTTCAACGATCTCTTCGTCCCCTCTTCAACGAATCAATTAATTTCGCGTCAACTTAAATACACATTCATGTACAAACACCAAAGACTTTACCTGTCGGGAAATGGCTTCATCATAATGTAAAACAAACTCTCGTGCTAGAAAAATTCATTATACAGCACGCGACATTAATTATTGCAGGGGAACTCAATCTTGTCAAACAAATGATTTCGAGGAAGGCAAATTATTTACCAATTCCATGTCTTCTGGTTTCATGACTTTTCACTGTTGTCCGTAGTGAGGGGAAAAAGGTTAGCGATCTTTTAGATAAAATGAATTGTTTTGAAGATCAGACGCATCTGTTTTGGGGCCTTTATATATAGACACAAACTCTTATCCATAAAGTCATCATATAATTTGTTGTTGTTGTAAACAACTTATATGTCACCATGACTCAATCCATTTTTAGAAATGAAATTTCAATATAGGCTGTAATTTGACACGGGAGGTGCCGTGAAAGTTTAGGTAATGAAACATGCGCGTTTGATTTCACAAGCTGCAGGATCACGATCATCCAGAACTTTATTGTTGATACGAACACGTTCCGTTTATCTCGCGTCATCGAGTTCATTCCCAAAAATAGTATGCGGCAACGTTTTTATCCTGAAATTTGCGACAGAGAAATTTTCACACGGTGAATTTTTTTATTGATTCTTTATGCAACCACTTCTCGAGATCATATTGTGCGAAAAGCTCTCATTGATAAATACTGGATTTGACATGCTAATTGTCATTGCATTTTTTAAAAGAAAAGTGATGAAATTGAGATCTAATAAATGTGACATAATTAAAATGCGCGAGAAGAAAAAAAAAAAAAACAAAAACAAAAACTATATATATGTATATATAAAACGCCATTCGAATCGAAATTCTTTTATAATGCACAGTATTTTCCCTCCCCTTAAATCTCATTTGTCACTTCACTCCAAATTATCGTTATCCCCGTCAGCAGAAAGTCCAGGAGAGTTACCATTGTCGTCGAGAGGGTTGGTGGTTGGTGGTGTCGGAGCACTCCCAATTTTCATCGTTGGAAACATGCCAGGCGTAGGTTTCCAATTACACTTTCTTCCTTCATCATAGATGTCTTCTAACACTTCTTCAAATATGCCTTCGGATTTGAATTGCAAATATTTTTTGTACACTGCCAATGCCTAAAATTGTGCCAACGATTGGTAGGGAAACGAAGAGTACGGCAGCTTAACATGGTTACGCGCGAATTTCTGGTGATGATTATCAAAATGTCGCTTACCGTTCTCGCATCTTCAATGCTATCGTGCGTATCAGTTTGGATGTCTTGTCTTAACAAGTACCAAGCTAAAAATCTGAGCGATATTTTTCTATGTGGATGGATGGATGGATGGATGGATGGAATGTGAAAAGATGTAAAGTGTTGAATAACAGCTGGCATCAATATTAAAAAGTTATACCGCGCTCTATTTTTAATGTGGAAGATATCCACTGTATCAATCACTTGATTAGAGGGAACCAAAATATCTGTGAAAACCATGGACACAACACATTAACTAACAAAGGCAAGGCGTGGATCGTTTTCCGCGAAATAAACAATGCGAGAAAATACGATTTACTTATTATGCGGAAATCTTTTTTCAACCCATGTCCAACAAAAATACAACCAAGGTCGAGAAGTAACCTCAACTTCTTGTAAGCCACCTGCTTGATAAGACAAGTAACTAAGGTCACGTTCATAAAAGAAAACAAACTCGAGAAATCTCAAAAACACGTGCCTTTAATGGAACCAAAGTATGCTTTGAAGATAGTTGATTCAAGTCGCCAACTTAAAAATTGATTGTGGTCAGGTGTAAGGTGTTAGTTACATCGTTGCGGTTGCAGTTGAACCGATGTTAAAAAATACCTTCGATCCCGGAAAATTCGGTCAAATAGTCCACCACGGGCTCCGATGTAGCAATGTAATCGTCGATAAATGGAAGGTTTTCTTTTGCACCTTCCCCACGTAGCACACTAACTCGTGCCAAACTAAGGCGCCTGGGACGAATGACTGATTTCGTTCCGTCACTCCTAATTTCAGTCTCTTCCTACAATCATCCACAATCGTAAGAAAAGATTCCAAGGGACAATTATAGTTGAAGATTCACGTGCGACCAGGAAGTCTTACCTGATTTAAAGCCACGAATTCCGCGTCTATTGCAACCAAGGTTCCGGGTTGTGGCAATTCCTCAGGTGTCAACAGGTGAACCGATTTGACGTTCGCGCTACGGTTTCTAATGAAATGCAAGATAACGGATTAATGAGCATCCATTCATCATCTGTATTCACACAAAATTGTCCACAAAGAGCTGACTTTGAGATGGAAATCTCTTTGAACAAGATGGATTTATCGATTTCAGAAGGCAAAGCGCTGGTATCCATCAGGTCCGATATATCAACTCGTGAATAATACAGAAGAACCGGGGTCTACGCGTCATCAAATGTGAAATCAATAAAACAGTGCGAAAGAAAATGCGGAATAGAAAAAAAAGAAGAAATTGTTTCTTTTTTTTTTTTTTTTTTTTTTTTTTTTTTTTTATCCACATACTTTCCATGGGCCTTGAAAATTAAAAACCTCTTGTTCGTTGACATTTTTCACCAAAAAATCATTGAAAAGATACCAAGGTCCTTTGCTGGATGATTCTAATTCTTCTTTCGAAACTAAAAAAACACAGTTGATTACCAAAAATAAATTTAAAACGATTGAATTCATCGAAAGAAAAAATACCTTTGACGAAGGCGACGAGATGTGAAATCTCTTTCTCCGGTTTAACCTGAGCGACAATTGCCTAACGTAACGAAGGTAATTGAAGCAAAGATGTTTGTAAAACAGAAAGAAATTAACTTGACGTTCGTTCTCGATTACTACCGTTAATTCGTAATTTGCGTAATTCGAGTTTCCAGTGTGATTAACGTCAATTGACGCGCATGCAGCTATTTCCTCTATGTTCAAGTCATCCTGATTGATGCTCATGGAAATTCTGCGCAAATAGAGAAACAAATCATGAGATGTACCGGAATATTGGGCGATCAAGTAAAATTCATGCCCAAGGGAATTACCTCTTCGCCAGCCAAGATTTATTTCCATCAGGGGATCGCCAAAATTCCGCTGGTGCCGTTGTTCCAAGACCACAGTTGATCGACAAAATAGGTGGCAGCCCCTTTGGGATTCTCTTGGCTATCGTGGGAACATACTTCCGACACTTGTTGCACCACGCCTTGGGTTGAGTTTCGCGCTGTATGCACGAGCGTAAGACTTCAACGAACGATTTCACCGCCGAGCCTTTTCCTTTAGAGTTCTGCCGTGCAAAAAAAAAACTATTGTTAGGAATTCTCAAAATGCCATTTGTAATCTACTCAAGATATGTGCATCATTACATTTGCGTAATAATTCAAGTCAACAACGAACGGTATTGTGTGGCGTTCAGTTTTGGTCTCACATTGGCACAAATTGATCGAGACCACCTGCATCCCGAATAACTGTTGAACCATCGACAAAGACGTCTGCTCCAAAGGCAAGGATTTTAATAGCCGAGGGTTGTTGTCGGAATTGCACTCCTGGTGTAATTGCTCGAGGATAAATCGATTGAAATTTTGTATGAGCAGAGAATATGCTGTTTTCTCATCTGGCTCCTCAGGTTCAAAGAGCTCGAGCGCAGATGCTTGTTCATTGAAAAGTAGATCATGTCAACCCCAAAGGAAATGAGACGAAGTCTGTCTGCATCGTGAAATTTCACCTTACCTTGTGGTATTGTGCTGAAAGCCCGCAAGAAATTTGAGGCTTGACAATTTCTACCTCGGGCATCCTCCAGCATACAAAACAGAAATCCAAGTTCGCAGCAAAGACAATTCTCCTTAGAGCACGTAGAACCAATGTGAGATTTTGTTATTAATCTGAGGACAGGGATGAAGAATAGAACTTGCAACAGGGAATTACAGTAGGAATTTGTAATATGCGTCTCAAGTCCAGCATAACGCGTCTTATTGTAAAATCTTTAAAGTAGCGATCATTACAAAAGAAAAAAAAGAAAAGAACATATACATATATATATTGGTGAATTCGATGGTGAACCCATTTTTTTTTTTTTTAAATAAACGATACCCGGCAAATCGATGTGCTCACTCAAAGTCAAAGTCGTCCACCCCAAATCGACTGTACATGATCTCAACCCTCCGATAATACTTGGGCATCCTTGTGCTCGTCGCGTCCAGCTCCGCCTCATCTTCAAATAGGGATAAGGGTTCCTGCGAAGATTTACAAAAGAAAAGAAAATTTTTTTTTTCTTTTTAGTAGTGATTTTTTTTTTTAAGATGATCTCGTGAAGAAAAAAAAAAAAAAAAAGCGAACTCGCCTTTGATCCCTTCCCCGATTGCAACTCTCGTTCTTTTTCAGAAACAAATTTGGGAGTTCCGGCTCTATGCTTTTTTCTGGACCAATGAAAAACCTGATTTCTTTTTTGATGACCTGGATTGGGCGCATATCCCACGAAATCTATCATCTTCATGTTATTCAAGATCTCGGGGTCTATCTTTGGCGGCGGCTTCCCGACCTCAAATGTCATGCTCGATGGCCATACCGAGAGAAGCGGTTCACGGTAGTATGGCATGCCGACCAACGACAAAGAACTAAGAACCAGAAACCAACATATCAGAAATCAGAAATCGACGTGCCGATATACGACTATGAATAAATGAAAAAGAAAAAAAAAAAAAAAAAAAAAACTTGAAATTACTCATTCTCGCCGACAAACACATTGGAAGTGGGACCGGGGACAGCTGGTAGTTCCACGGGATTGGAGTATGCGTTGATCTTTGGATTTTTGCGATCGCTCCACACGTGAATCATGCTAACGGCGTCGCCAAATGCAAGCATTTCGCCAGATTTCGAAAGATCAACGGCACTTACGTAGCCGGCATTTGCCTTTGGTGTGGTGAAGGTTCAACTTGAAATGTTACAAGGATATTTTGAATGAAAAACAAAGACACGAGCGATGAAAGGATTCGTAAAAAGAGCTTGCGAATAAATACCTGGTAAAAGCGAGTGCTCGAGGTGTTCCCAACGTCGCACACGTGAAAATGCCCGGTTCGTGACACGATGAAGACGGTCGTGGAAAGTTTGGGATGCATCTTGAGGAAGCAGGGTCCGAAGGGAAATGACATTGGGACCAAAGGTCGCATTGTCCTGACATCATACAATTTGACCAGTGGATCTATCACAAGGGTTCCATGTCTTTATGTGCGTAAAGAAATGGATATTTCGCGAAGTGAATTCTGGTTAATATATAGATGCGGAAGCCGCACGGCTCAAAGAATGAGTAGATCCTTAAGAATGAATTACTAGCCTCGCAGAAAAACCGCATGTTAATAACAAATTTCCCGTGGTGTCTATATCAGAGATGGCCCCTGTGTGCGCTTGAATCCGATGTTCCACTTTGAATGTCCGCGGATCTCGGAGGGTCACTTCGCCCGAGGTGGAACCGTAACACACCAACCTCGACTTTCGCATCACCACAATTTCGCTCTCCGACTCGACCTGACAAAATCATACGACGAAGCGGTGAGAAATATGCAAACCACCTCATCCTTCGCATCGACGCAACACGGCAAATACCTTCTTTACGACCGTTCCTCGAGCAATGTTGATGACGAGCATGCTCTGTCGTCTCCCGGCCGCCAAAATTTCTGAATTGGGCATCGTCGTATACGTCATGCAGCGCAAATCAGTAGTGTCTTCATTGCTGGTTAAAAGGGGAGGGATTAAGCAATAGGTTCATATGTGTCTCGAGGAAATGACATAATTACAAGTCGAACAGGTCGGAAGGTCAATGTTGAATTTGATGTATTCCACACACCTTATTGCCCATCTGACCAAACCTCTACGATTTGTCATCTTGACAGAATCGGAACTCAAAGAGATCACTCCTCTATCACTGACCAATAATTGCTCGACAGGAGTTAAATGCGATCGGAAGCTTGTATATCTTTGTAAACTTCCACCGAGATACGAAGCGACTCGACCCTTTTTTTTTTTTTTTTAATCAAATAATAAACATTAAGAAATTTCACCTTAACTTCTGATAACGCGTATCTCGATGCATTTATTTCAATCTTGAAATTTTTAAAAGATTTAAATTTTTTTACTTTATCATTTCCAGTCCACAACAACTCCTGACAAGGATCAAAGGCAATGGCCGATATTGACTGAACGACGTTTATATTTGGATCACATGCTGTAAGCACCTCATTCCAACTATCCATTCTTTTTTAAAGTGACAGATATTTTGTCTACAGGAAACATACAAAAAAAAACGGCAAAGGAACTTAACCAAAATTGAAAGTGCGTGAAGTATATCGTACGGCACGATGCGCACATATGTACGTACATACGCACGAATTTTCTTGTGCCACCTTTTAAATTCAAATGACGCACACATAATCATGTGAACTTGAGCGGAAAAGTATATATAGGATGATTCACCCACTTTTCATGAGTGGTATACGATAATTTACGCGATATTTCTAAGATACCATTAAGCTTTCGGTCGAACAGTCCTCAAGTATTTTGTCGAAATTAATCTCGAACGTTCTTTCGCAAATTCAAAATGCCTTCCTGTATAAGTGAAAATTAATAAAGATTGTATTTCAAGTTTTTCGCTACCTTGCCGTGCATTACTTTCATTTCAAAGTGCATCATCATTATCTATTTATCTTTCTACTCAAAGAAAAGAATCGTATCGTGTTACCATTTTTAAATTTGCAGTAATCTTTTCCCACATCGTCTTTTCCTCAACTTTTGAATTTGAGAAAGAATTTCGATTCCAAAGGAAAAAAAAAGATGAATGATAACATGGAAAAAGCCGATGCCTCACAGCCTCACCTCTCCCCCCGAGCTTCAAGTCCAATTCCCATTCCCTCGCGCTCGCAAACATCCTCTCCGCATCCAAACTATGTGGCCAACGTGGGAATGCGCATCACCCCCTCTTCCACTTCGTCCACCTTTAATTATCCCGCTTCCAACAAATCATCCCATTCCGACGCCATCCATTCCAAAGAAAATCATTATCAAAACAGAACCACATTTTATCATAACTTATCCGTTCTCATCAATAATCCCGCAGGTAGCATGTCTATCTCTCCGTCAAGTCGTGACATAGTATTGGCAGCGTACGTACTGGGGAATGACGAGATCACTTTAGTTTTTGATTTTCGAATATCATTGATTGATTCGAATTCGATTTTGTTATCTCGGCATGATTTTTAGACGGAATGGACTTTTGATTGTCGACCTTGAAAATCCGGGAGAAGATCCGCGCGCGCTTCACAATTTGACGAAATGGGATGTAGCTGATGTGCAATGGAATCCGCATCACAATCGTGAAGAGCGGGTGGCATCGACGGTACTTGAAATTTGAAATTGGGCCGTCCATTAATTCTTCTTTCTTTTCTTTGTCATTGTTTAACTGTTCAATTGATACAAACACTTTAGTCTAATCAAAAAGGACTTATATGGAATCTGACTAAGGATTCAAAAAGCGCTGTTGAATGCATCCTACACGGACATACTCGTGCCATCAGTGATTTGAATTGGAGTATGTTTGATTCGGAGATGATTGCGACTTGTTCCGTGGATACCTTCATTCATCTATGGGATCTGAGGAATCCGAATAAACCATCGCGTTCATTCTGTGCCTGGAAATGTGAGTGACCAATTTTATTTGAATGATTATTTAAACCGTGGATGGAACTAATGTCGCTTTGTCATCCAGTCGGTGCTACGCAAGTAAAATTTAACTTAAAGAATGAGTTCATATTGGCCTCCGCGCATGACAAGAATGTTATGATATGGGATACACGGGTAAACCATATAAGTGGATCGATCAATTTTTTTTTTTTTTTTTAGTCTTAATCTCGTTATTAATATTCTCGAAAATTATAATAGAAAGGATCTGACAGCGTGGCTCAGATTGCCGCGCATACAACGAAGATATATGGTATCGATTGGAGTAAGCAAAATGGAAAAGAGATCATCACTTGTAGTTTAGACAAGTTGGTCAAAGTCAGTTTTGTTACACTTTTTCATTCCCACATTTATTTACCAATTCGATTCGATCAACTTGAAATAATTTTTTTTTCGCTTTCCCCCCCCCCCTTTCCCTC